TGCTGAATTTCAATCGAATGAAAAAAGAAAAGTGTAATCGCCCTAATCTAATCATTTGAATTATTGATGAAATCAATATTTCATAAATATTTAATGATGATATTTTTATCATGGGGTTTAGGGTCAGACTGCAGCAGTGAAGTCAGCACTTTGAGCATTGGAACACACGACACGTCTCAGAATTCACACTCTGATGAGATTAATCAGCATTCGAACAGACAGAAGATGAATGGGAGTATGAGTATTGATGCTAGACAATTGTATGATCCCGATTCTTTGTGGAGACGTACTAAATGCAAGTAAGAAAACTAAATCGCTTTGTTTTTGCTTTTCGAGAAGTGTCAATTTTACTTTAGAATTAGATTTGAGAAATATCTTAGAATTGAAGGGCGATAAAAAAATTGGTCTGAAGAACTTTTTTTTTATAACGAAAATCGAGAGTTACAAAAGAGATTCTTACAGAAATTTTTCTATTTCTTGTGGATTTGCAATATTTATAAAAAACGAGCGCTCAACTTTACTTGAATCATCACCTTATGACTTCAATATTAAATCATTCTACCACATTCTGATCTTCAATTTTTTTTTAGTCTAAGTGTTGGATACGTCGACAGTTTGGGAAGATTCGTAACAGAGATTGATCCAGATCCGCAAAGAAAATACGGTAAACAATTGAATAAAGAAGAAAAAACGAAAATTGATTTTCTTCCCAATCAATTCAGAAAATCTAAATATTTTTGAAATCGCCAATTAATCAATTAATTCATTCTTCAATTAATTGTCTTCAGAGTCAAGATTATCGAGAGCAGTGAAGAGATTCATACACCTAGAGCAGGATAAGGTAAAAAATTGAACAGAAAAATCCTCTAAATGAAGAAAAAAAATAATAGTCTTGTATTCATGAATGAAATTGTCCTCAGGCTAAAGAAGAGCTAGCATGGAAAATAGCTGAGATGATAGTCCGAGAGATCACCTCCCTGACCCTAGGAGTGCAGGAGTTACGTTCCTAACTAATTAAAAATTACCTAGAATTTATTCGTTCGTCTGCCTACATTGAGAATGCAATTCTCGTGCCAAAATTACGAAAGCTGTTATTTTCAATCAGCAAGAGTATTTTTTTAATTACTTACACACGCGATTCGAATTTCATCCTCAGTCGGAGCTTTTCAAGTGATTTAAAAAAAAAAATGATAATCAAATCGTGAAGAGAATTTTTATAAGATATTTTTCCTACTTAAGTGAGATTATTACATAGTATTTTTAACGTTTAAGTGTTGATTGCTATAATTTTCCTAGTTCGTGTGGTGCTGAATTGTTGGGCACTGATTCAACAACGATTTGGTGAAAATTTCTTCCGATTGCGAAATGTCTTCAGGCCATGACAGTGTTCTCTTCGATGTTTTCGGAACATTTCTGTTTTAGGACTTTGGTTTTCGTGAAAAATGTACGGAAAAGTAGTGTTCTGTGACTGTACATAATAGACATGCATAATCTTTGTTCATGATATGATAACTGAGTAAATAAAAGATAATTTTTCACAATGGAGGTGGAATATAATTATCATTCTGTATAATAACAATTACGAATTAGGTAAAAAATTGCACCATTCATGTAAAAAAAATAACGCAGTCCAATAAAGGTTTTTGAAAGAATCGAAAATATATTTTAAATATTATGAGAATATTTTTATTGCCTACTTTACATGAATGGCGCAAATTTTTATGTTAAACAAATCGAAATTAGCTGTGTAGGGGTCGAATTTCAAAAAACTAATTCGTAATTATTATTGTACATATTTTTTCAAAAATTTTGAAATAAAGAAAAACCTCTGTAGCTCTAAAATTGGAGGCCCTGGACTATTTTTAACATTTTA